TCACCTAAAACATTCGTGAATGTCACTTGGAATTAAGAAGACGCAATGCATGAACACAACGTCAATTAAAACCTTAACTAGAAGAAGATTATTCTCTTAGAACGTGCAAAGTCAAAAGTATAAAGAGGATTTAATAGAAGCATGACATTCAAACAAAACTGCAATAAAATTATAAGTGGATAGACCCAGTCTGTAGACTACTTGGGAAGAAGAATAATTATATATGAGTCAGTCAATTAAAAATTAATTAAGTTAATCAATCATGAGAAATAATAACACTAACTGATTCTACAAGAAAAGATTAATCCCTTTAATGCTCAACAGACACTGTTGCAGAAACCGGCTCCTGGATAAATTGATGCAGTGGAATACTGCCTCGTGAGCAGCTGATGCAACGTGGAACTTGAAAATGATGCATCAAAAAGTAAACTTCCGTTACTTACTCATTTAAGAATAGCATATCACTATAATAACACCTATTTTGACATTTAAAGCCGGTCTGTCAGTGTATTTAGGGGAACTGCTCGAATAGTGATGGAGTGAGGAACATCTAACCATAATTTTTCAAACAATTAGTGCATTTCCTCCCTTTCTGCGCTACAGTTTAGTATAAATATATCGGAAGCTAATAATGATTTTGAGCCGGAAGATTGGGATGCTATAAACAATTTCTTTAGACTTTTGCCTACTGGCATCAGTTAGTATACTAGAAAACGAGGTCCATTTTCTAACAGCATTAAAATTCTCAAAAAAGAACAGTTACTGCTAGAGATTATTGCATTTTGTCGGTATCTGCAACCGTTTCATCTGCTGATTAGGCCTTTCAATTACTAGAGGTAGAGTAACTTACTATGTTTACGATATACCAGAAATTGCAGCAGTTTCAAGAACTTTACCAAATATTTACACAAAAACCAACAGATTCAACTGACAGTAGTATAAATGTTTACGCTTTTCTTTTTATAAAGTAATGCAGAATAAGAAACTAAGAAGTGAAGAGGATAACAGCCGCTATTTGTATGTTTAATACATTAAGATTTAGAAAAGGATGTAAATGACGTGTCTAAAATAATTTTTCTCTGAATTCAGTGATACTTTCAGACATTGAGCAGCTTGAGTACCTGATCTTAGCAATAACAGAATCCAACGACCCTTTCTATTTAACATACCTTTAGGAATAAATCCTATTGAGTGTATCATCTGTCCTATATTTAATTTCCATAAATACTTCACCTTTGAACCAAACCTTAGTAAGACTGGTTCTTTCTGAAATGTATCAACCTAAGTTAGTAGGATCCAATGAAATTGGGGGAAATCCTATTATCCTCCTCGATGTACTGCTTTGTTCAAACGCCTATTTGTTTGCTCAATATAGCTCTACTCATAGGAAGAGCTAAAATAATAAGTGCACATTTGAATGTCACAGTTGGCTAGATAATGATAAATGCTAAGCGACATTACCATTCGTCCTCTTAAAAATGTTTTGGACAGCTTTTGGTATAGGTCCTTACTGAACTAAATTTTCATGAATACCTATTACATTTGAACAATGACTTATTTTGGCTTTCAGCATGGCCAGTTCATTTTTCTCTCGATAAGAACTATTAAGATATTCCATTTCAACCACTTTTTAATAGCTACATTCTATTTTTCTTCTTTAAAATCATTCGAGCAGATTCTTCTAGCTGTGTTTGTGAAACATTTGACCAACTAAATACTTTCAGTGAATGAATATGTAACTGTTACGCACCCCTAATTCTCCATAGTCTTCAAAACAACCAAAAACACTCCAGAAACAGCTTAAACAGGTGAAAATCAGATCAAATGAGACTAAACCACCGGGCCAGGGCAGAATACTTACTATAATTTGATCGGACAACACTGAAGTCGGAATTTATAAAACCAGTTAAATTACTTATTTATCGGCTTTACTCTCGGAGGTGAGTAATATTTGTACATAATAAGGCGTTCTCATCTCTCGTCTACCTTTGTTTGCGTGGCCTCTGTGGTTCAAGGGTGAATAAAAGTAGTATTGGTTTTCAGTTTTTAGATGAGATATTTACTGCCGTCTCGTTCTGAACTCTAGCTGCAATATTATTATTAGAGCCTATCATATCAGCCTATATCAAAATTCGATATCGTCCTCGAACCCAAACAGATGTATTCTTTTTGTAGATAACAGCCTTAGAGACAAGAAAGAAATCACTTTATAGTTTTTTGTCGCTCATTTCAATTCAGGTTACCTGACATATCAAAATTTTTGGTATCACTGACTTCTGACAGTAGTATTCTTATCGTTCCATACCACTTTTTGGTGATCCTACTTGCCCTTCATATCGGTAACTGGATAAATGTATGCAGTGACCTCTTGACGTATTTTCTCAACTTACATCTCTTCTAAGCAAATCGTCTAATTTTGTCACTTAATAGAATATTTGAAAAATGCAGTTTGTTTTGTGAAAGTGAGTAATAAGTTCACCTCTTTGAGTGTGTTAAGCAGTTTGTTTTGTCAGTGTTCTGGCTGAAAACAATGAAACTGACAGCAAGTATCCAACTTATTTATGTCCTTTTTAAAGAGACTATTCTAAGGCTTAAAAGGAAAAAACACCTGCTAAAATTTTCCGCTATGAAGACCTCAAAGTTATCTTATGTACTTGTTTTTAATATATATTGTTGAAGGCAAAGTATATATCTGTGGCATATCTTAGGATCTTTTCCTCGAAAATATGTTCTGGAATTCTAACATCCACCCGTTTTTCCTGTATCTGCTGACATAAATTCTACCATTTGTAAAAATGGTACTTTGTCAAATAATGATAACAAAACATTTGAGAATATCCCGTTCTTCTACTTTGCATCAATTTTGTTGAAATTAAGAGTGGATTCCAAAACACCTCCTCATTACGCTTTAAGTCGCTCTCGTGTGTACTTAGTATACATTATGCACATCATATAGTTGTGACATATTGCTCCCCGTAGATTTAGCTGACTCGTGGGCAGGAGGCAAGACAATCACCTTTTCTCTCAATTCTTTAGAAGTGCTTGCCAATTACTTTTCTACATTTCTGTTTATATCCGATGAGTTAAAAGGTTCTGAGATTTAGTTTCGTAATTTTGAAGTTAGTTCATTCTTTTGTAAAAATACTTTTCTAAGCTGTGATTTCTTGTAAATTATTTAATAATATTTTAGATTTCCTATCGATATAACTAACCGAATCGATCAGCTTAATTTTGGTATGTGAGCTCCTTGAATGGATTCCTCGATATTACCAGGATTATTGAAACAAAGTTACTTATTTCGTAGTGGATATCTGTAGAATCTAGGATGCACTTTTCGTTTTACTCATCACTTCATAACAATAGTTATTGGTTTCGAGTACCTGTAGGAACACTATCACTAACTGTATTGCAGGTACAACTAGCCGATGAGTCCTAAAAAGGACGAAACGTACGTCCTGGACTCAGCTATTAACCGCCTACAAACAATTAACCTTGAGTAATTTCTTGTCTTATAATATGCTCAGAAAACTGCTGAAGCATTATATAGCACTTATCAAAGCTAATATTCTCTTTTGTGAAGTGAATGACTCATCAGTGTGTGAATTTATGTAAACATGATAATGTGACTTAATTACACATCAGGTCAGGTAAATGTGACAACCTGAGAAGATATTTACTATATTAATAATGATATAAATGAATCCATTGAAAGGCACTTCCATATTAGTCTGTTATATACCATAAAACTTACCAATTACTTGAAACAAAACTTCAATAATAAATAAAACAAAATATACCGTATCCAATTATAATTTTAACTAAGGTTTGGCGTATGTTATTAATGCGTCTGTGAGATCGTTTACGGCTTTTTTTGCTTACATAGGCTAACAGCATAAGGCATGTCGCTAGGTTGGAAAAATACATCATAACAAATGCCTCCAAATTCTAATTTACTAATAACTTTTGAATGGCTTGACAATTATTTTTTTATCACCAGTTAACAAAGCCTTAAAACCTAGATGAGTAACATGTTTGTTTCACGTAAATAAATTACAAACAAAGATCATAAAGCTAATGCCACTCATTGTCTATTATGGACTGAAGATTACAAACAGACCATATATCTTATTCTTACCTACCATTTCTTTCACCTTTCTCTCTCGAACGTCCCATCTCATTATTTATAAATAAACTCTGGTTGTCAGATTATTAACTATTTTGTACACATATCTTTTACTCAACTACTATACCCTTTGAGTTGAAATAATTTTTGAAGTATATTATGTATTTCTGTATTTATATTAATTAATGTCATTTTCTAAGCTAGTTGCAGCTAATGAAAAGCCGTGAATTAAAAACCTCAGAGCTCTTTTCATCCGCGCTTTCTTCAAATTCATGGATATTCACACTTTTTTAAGCAAAATATTCTCCCCTTAATGTAATGCAAAGACTATTTTTCATCAAGTGTTATTCTGACACCTAGAATTCAGTATTTTAAGAATACATATTAAAATCATTCGGTTTGCAAAAAAACAAAATACTTCACTTTATCAGATAAATCATAATAAGTGTATCTTTAGTTCATGATAGAATGGTTTTCAACTACGCAATCATCGGAAAGCGTCGATAGCTAGGCAGTAGAAGGTGGTCCAGAATTTGATCCCCTTAAACCTCGCTGAGCCGGTAATAAGAATGGTAAAGAGAGAACGTTGGGCATTAGGCTAGCAACCCCACCCCGTAAAAGAAACACCCAAGCTACCGAAACTTCAAAGCTCTAGTTTGAAGCCCTATATTCTACTGGGAGTGTAAAAGAATAAAATAAATAATAATGAGAAGAAGAAATGTAGTAAGTTGTTCTCATGATTAAGCTAGCTAATAGAACCTAAGACTTAGCTTATTCACAGTGTTTCTTCATTATTCTGTAAGATAAACAAACAAAGGCAAGAGAACAGAGATTTTATGGTAGTAAAAAAGAAATAATTTATTTTTATGTATATATAGTTGAGTACAAAGAACTGTGTATTATTTCTAAAGATACAATTCTCTATTGATATGAATTTAATTTAAAATTACAATTTTAACTTTCTGCTTATTGTTTTAGCCATAGTTTGAGCAAACACACATTTTTCACCTGGACCTCGTGTTAAATACATTAGCATACATTGATTAAATTCCTTTTCACATTCTGGAAATTGACGACAGTATTTCATCAATGATTCCACTGGAAACTTTGCTCCTTCTGTAAACAATAATTAATATTTTTAACTTTTAGAAACTTATTATCACCTTATAGGCAAATTGTATGCTTTTCTATATTGCAAAAATATTCACTCAGACATTTATAAAACACAAAATAATCGAGCAAAGAATATTCTTTTCGATAAATTCCTCTCCCAGGCTCTACAATTACATATATGCATGTTTACATACACAGAATATTTTAAATTAGTAGTTAATAACAATATTAGCGTTTTTTTAAATAATATCGATTTGTAAAGTTTGATCAATGCTATTGCAGTTCATTAAAGATGCTTAAATTATAATAATAATAATAAAGATATAACACTGAATAGAATATCAACTAAAATTATGGAAATTTCACAAAAATTCTGGATTATTCAAACCTAGATGGCCAAGGTAATGATAATGACTGAACTAACTTCTTTTGGGTGCATAAATTAGGCTTATTAATATGAATCCCCATAGCCTCAGCAATATTTAGAAGTCGAACTCTTAAAGCGAAATTGAAATTCGTAGGTATGCCGTAAATGACCCTGAAAGCATGATTAACGTCAATCTTATGTTCTGTCTCCACAAGATGCGCCAGAATAGCGCTGCGAATAGATTTTGTTTGACCTTTGCTTAACCACGCAGGGTGATGTTCGGAAATTCGACGAGAAACACGCCTAATTGTACGGTCTATGTAACTGGCTCCACAGGAGCAGTTTAATTGGTATATACACATGGAAGAGGCGAAATTAGGCAGTTTGTCTTTTATTCCAGAACGCAGAAGAGGGGTGGTTTTAAAGATACAGCGTACTTGAGCAGCAGGGAATGCTCTTTTTACCGCATTTCTGAGGCGATGTGTTAGTATCTCACTTGTATTGTTTCCTAGGAACTGCATCTGTAAGAACAAGGCTTTCTTTGGAACTGTTGGTAACTTGGACTGTTTTGGTTTTAGATTCATATTCTTATCAATAAACTTTTCAAGATAACCATTCTCACTTAGCAACCGTTTAATATTGTTAAGCTCCTCGTCAAGACATTCATCCGAGCAAATCTCTCTTGCTCTGTGGACCAAGCACTTTATTAGATTGCGTTTGTATTTCAAGGGCACAAAGCTGAGAAAATGTGTGTACTGGCCGGTTGATGTAGGTTTTCTATAAACACTTCTTCTTATTGTGCCATCCTCTTTTCTGGTCATAAGGACGTATAGAAATGATACACTAGAGTCTTTTTCTTTCTCAATAGTAAAATTTATTGCAGGATGTACCTAATTAAATTTGTCCAGGATGTTCTTTGCCTCCTTTTCGTTCTTCATAATCAAAAAAGTATTATCCATGTATCGACAATAAAATTCGAGTTCATTAATAACATCTTTCAAAGGCCCATTTTCTAGTTTCGTCAGGAAAATATCGGCTAGAATGGGTCATAGTGGCGACCCCATTGCCACACCGTCGATTTGTCTATACAGTTCCTTATTAAATAAAAAGTCGACATTCATTGTACATTTCAAGAGAAGCTCCTTCATGAAAGATATAGGAATGCCAATCTCGATGTTTCGTCTTTTAAGTTCTTCACATATAAAGTCCACTGTTTCCATAAGAGGTACATTGGTGAATAAAAAAGATACGTCAAATGATATCATGAATTTATTATCAACATTTAAATCTCTTATCCTTTCAACGAATCCAAATGTATCCTTTACACTATGTTTCACCAACTCAGTATGAAGGGGCTGTAAGAGTTCAACTAACCATTTGGCTACCGGATGTTATGGTGAATTTAGCATATCTAATACTGGTCTGTATGTTATTGAATAAATACTGTTATATTTCATCATAATATGAAGCTATTGTATATAAAACATAGACAAATTTCTGATCTTAATTTATTTCTGATAGCATCGTATACTTAAACCTTAGACAAGAGTTCTTATTTCTGTCTTCTCACCCGATCCTCAGTGACTTCCACATAGTATTCACGGTTTTTAACTGTCTGATTAATCGTTCACTGCCTGCAAGTCACCAATTTCTATATTTCTGAACGCTTAAATGAAAACTTCAATCACTAACTGTATTAAAGTGTGGCAATTACCACACTTTAAAGCTTGGTTAGCGCTGAAGTATTCTTAACTAGAGTTAACTCAGTGACTTTATTACACACACATACTAGGTCTTGAACCAGAAAGAAACAACAGAACTGGCTCCCTAAGCTTTACAAAACCTAACTTTATAAAAACTGCATCATAATACAGGTCCCATAAGAGATAAATTAACCCTAATAAAATTACATTTGATTTTAAATTAACATCACATCGATGAGACGATTTGTTTATGTATTCATACTGGGAGATATTTAATGTATATATGAAACAGTGAGTCAAACTCCACCATCTGCATCCACCTAATCTATGGTGAAGGTGGGTAACATGATAAGTCTACTCAATACACTAAGTCTATTGGTTGTTGGTGTAGGCTGACGGCGTAAGCCATGTCGTTATTCCATTCCGTACATTAGAACATATTTGTATAGATTCTATATGTTTGAATATCCCTCCAACATTTTTCTACTGTCAGCCTTCTGAACTGTGTTTTCATTAATAGTATACATGGTCATGTTTCAGGAATGATATAGATTGAAATCATCTTTTCGCTGTAGAAATTGATTGGCGGTCTCTCTGTTTGCATGAATTCTGGTTTTCGTGGTAATACTGAATTAGTAATACAATTCTTTTTCATTCTGAGTGATAATTAGTATAGAAATTATTTCGTAATTCATTTCATTTCATTCAAGTGAATTAAAGAATCATGAGTGGAATGGAAAACCTTTATTTTATCCATTTACATTGTACTCTACATTACAACATTCGAAAATATTCTATGTAAACTTGAATTAAATATAAATCATAAAATGAAATCATGGTTCAGTGATCCATGGCTTTCAATGGATGAGGCGGTAGCTCACCGAAGAAGACACTGCGAAATGGTCACGCTACGTCATAAATTGGCGGAAATTAGAATTCACAGACTGGCCATTGGATCGGGTCCCAGTGACTTAATGGTCTACCAGAAGGTCCTGGGTTCGAACCCCATTGGTGGGTATGCACTGATGAAGAGACCGAAACTAGGACGGAAGAAACAGCTGTCCAGTACTCCCCGTTGGTTTTCCAATGGTTCTCTAACTGATGTCAGCTCATAATGAAATCCTCCAAGCAATCAAACTAAAAAATTCTCTACAAAAATCAATACTTGATAACATTTCTCCTAAATATAAAAACCCACATCCAGAGTTCTTTCTAGATTTTGACAGTCAATACGTTAACAAAATATGTTTGAAATTCATTACTACACTAAGAAGTCAGAATAATGGAGGAAAGGTTAGGTCATGCCTTGGTAACTTCGATTAAAACAGACGTATGCTTATGAGATTATTTTTATTAAGGCGACGTGTCATTTATATTGAAATACCCAAACACAAAATACTATCCTTAGTATGTTTACTACTAGGCCATTTTTACTTTCTTTTTTAAATGAAGTTTAAACCGAGGCCTTACGATATGACAGAAAGTATTTCACCACCTACTTCCATTTATAGGCCAACAGTTTACATACATGCTGACATACATATTGTATATTTTTGTGGTTAATGTGGAATAAATGTCGCCCAGCAGTACATTATTTATTACCAAAATAGAATCTATCTTGAGAAGATTTCCATATATAACTAAGATTTATAGGAAATCTTTACTTTTTAGACACTGCTTAAGGAAGCATCTTTTAACAGAATCCAGTAATTAACCGGAAATGTCTACTCTAATTAAGATTTTTTTAATAATCTTAAGAAGCATCTTAAGAAGGTAAGTATTACAATCTAATCCGCCTATCTGCTATCTCGAAAAGAAAGAAGTGCTACAAATATGCTTAATCCATCAATAAATAACTGTCTTACGTAAAAAGAAATACGATGACACGACCGGTATCTTTTGGGAATAATCAGCAAAAGTGTCATCCACTGTGCCTTCCTCCTAACTGGTTATCTCGTTCAACTTTAGTCATTCCAATACAACATAATTTATGCTAGGTAGTTTTAAAACGAATCTTATTTTTAAATCAGTTGAATAACTTTAGAATCTAAACTTTCAAAGGAAATTTAAAAACACTGATTTTTCAATGTATTAATTTAGGAAAGAATATTAAATTTAAGTGATTTATACAACTAAGTTTAACCGACTGACTCTAACTAACTTCCTTCATGATGAAGGAAAGTGTTCTTTCTTCATTTTAATATCTTGCAACTATTCAGTGGTACAAAAAGTTCATCGTTAGCATACGCCAACAGTTCTATGACTACAGCTTATTTTAAAGATTTTTAAATTTTAGGGAATAACTATTATCAGAAAAACATTTGTGCAAATGTTAATATCTTACATATGTTTATTGTGTGTGTACAACAGATAAAAATTATATACTGATCACTGAATAAACTTTGTTTACATAAATCACTTACGTGTATTTAAGATGGTGTTAAGACAAAAGCTCATAACATTTTGTACATATGCATTACAAGCTTTATTATAATGTTCAGATTGTGCTTTTGTGCAATATAACAAGAAACTGAACACAATCATACTTAGAAACATGATATTCATCTGGAAATAATCTGAAGGAAAAATCTTTTGTTTTTATTAAGTAAAAAAAAACTATCAAAATGTTTACTTATTGTTTTCTGCAAGATTTAATATCCTTTTATTATTTTATTTTTTCAAAATAGACGTCTACGGATTGTTTACCGATATTTATATTTCTCGTCAATGCCAAAAATTAACTTATATACTTAAATAAAGAGAACTATACTACATGGATCATCCATAAAATAGGACAAGCTCAGTTTTCCTTCCAGGCCTATTCATTATCGTCAAGTTTCAACGTGTTATTTTAACTTATGAAGGTTATGTTATTCATATAATAGCTGCCGTCTATATCATCAAACAGAATTTATTTGACTGTTGTGAGAACCAGCAACAAGTTGGGGGTAAGTAAGAAGCTAAGATAATATTGATTGAAGAATTTATGTGAACTAGTTGTTTTGTTAGTTGAAGATGTGTCCTATTTCAATAAAGGAAAGAGAAGAGAATGACAAAATTTAATGATCTAGTTTTGGTGTTTTTATTTAAATGGTTCACTTCGTCTTAATAATATGGATCGTAAGTACGTCAAAGAAAATATTTCAACACTTAGGATGAATATTACTGTGCTCTACTCTACACTTTTGCTTGGGACAGAATATGCTACCAATATTATTTATTATTATTTATTGTTCCCTTGGGTTCCTAGTGGAACATAGGGCTTCAACTGCACGTCTCCACTTGCTTCTGTCTTCTGTTGTACTTTTCACTTGCATCCATGTTAGTCCATACTGTTTCAGCTCCTCTTCACACGATCTCCTCCATGTCACCCTTGGACGTCCCACTCGCCGCTTCCCTTTCGGGTTCCACTCGAGCATTGGCCTGACGCGCGATGTCACCCAGCGGCCTCCTCAGCGAGTGTCCAATCCATCTCCACTTTCTCCTGCATATTTGTTGAGCGATTGGTTCTTGTTTTGTTTGTTCCCATAGTTTCTTGTTGGTGATTCTTTCCGGCCATCTGATCTTCAGTATAGAGCGAAAACAGTTGTTGATAAAGGTCTGCAACAGGCTGTTGGAAATATTCTTTGTGACCCGCTGGCCAAGTTTCTGATCCGTATAGAAGAACTGACTGACTTGACGTTTGTATTGAAAATCCGAATTTTGTTGTTGATGCAGGCTGAGTGACGAAGATTTCCAGATTGGTTTCAGGTTGATGAATGTGTTTCTCGCCTTCCCGATTCTCGATTTGACATCCTCGTCCGTTCCTCCTGTAGTTGAGACAATTCTCCCTAGATAAGTGAATGAAGTAACCTCTTTCAAATCCCTCCCGTTGATGGTGATTGGCGGTGGATGTTGCTGCTGCTGTTGTTGTTGTTGTTGGTTGGTTATTTTCATAACCTCCGTCTTGTCTATGTTCACCTGGAGTCCTGTCTTTGCTGCTTCTTCGACCAGTTTGTCGGTTTTCGCTTGTAAGTCTTCGATTTTGTGTGACATCAAACATAAATCATCCACGCGCGAAATCCAGGTCTTCTAGATTCTTCTTCACGTCGGTCCAGGATATCCCTGTCTTCTCGTTTCCCACTGTCTGACGCATAATCCAGTCCTCCACAACTAGGAATATCATTGGTGATAATAAGCACCCTTGTCTGACTCCTGTGTTTACTCGATACGCCTCGCTGAGTTTTCCGTTGTGGATTACTTGACATGTGCCGTCATTTCACTTCCCCGATTCCAGCGAAAAATAAGGTTTATTGTTGATATTATTAGTATTTTTAATATATATATATGCGTTGAAGTTTCTGTAGCAATTTGGTTAAGTTTTGGGGGTGGAGTTGCTAGCACCACGCATCAACCCTCCCTCTTTAACCGGGCCTTGGACCGGCTAGAAATCTAGCAAGCTAGTAATCTAGACGAGGTTATGCTACCAATAGGTAGGAATGAAATTGAAAAGGAGTCATCTTTTCATGAGTCAGTTGCTATTATTTACTTATGTGTGTATGTATGTGCCCTTCGAAAGCTTTCGGACACTTACATTTTAGAGTATAGTACATGTGCATGGGACTGTTTTTACTGTGATAAATCTTCTGTGCAGATTTTTCTGTCTCATTGAAGTGTTTCTGGTTTCATAAACACATCTAAAAAATGTTTCTCTTCTTCGTCACTTTGATAATAAGTGACAAAAACTGACAGGAAACATACAACAGTGATTAGTCACCAATTGAAAAATCACGAAACCCAGAAATGCATTATAATGACAATACAAACAATGAAATTTCATTATGCTTTACCAAGAAACAAAAGTAATATAGAGTTACTTAATAACCGCACCAGCTGAAGTTGTTTATAAAAGGATTAACGCGATGAAACTCCACAATTCTCCAGATTAACTTATTCCATTCTTAGGATTGTTCTTGGAAAAGTTTTTGCCTTTGAGTTGCGTACTCAAACTGTCAGTTTTACAAATTTGGTCTTGATGTGAACATTAACAACTTATTCATGGGTTTTTCCTAAAACGAGAGTTAGGAAACTCGATTTACACGTGTTCTTTTTTTCTTTGTCTGAATATCCACATAACATTCCTTTCTTCACCTCACCTTGGTTCTTTGATGTGAAGCAATGAAAATACTTGTTTCTGTCGGGACAGGCCAAAGTTAACATAAAATATTTTCAAGACATTACAAATTCTGATTTTGAAGTTTATTATACCCACAATAAAATTTCCAAATACTTCGTGTAAAGACTATCCATAAAACCAACATTTGAAGATACAAATAGTTTAAAGTTAACTTGTTCACGTTTTAGTAAAAAAGTATCATGAAATCATTCAAAATAATTTCAAAAAGCTACGTGATACTGATTGATTGACACGAGCAATTGAATACCACTCAATCAGTAGTGTATGTTAGCCAGATTGAAGTAATCTAAGCAATGAATGGCAATTTCGCTAGTTTGGGGTATAGCTCCTCAGTAAAGTATCCGGTTCGATCTGGGTCAGTAAGCAGAATCTATTCAGACCACGCTATTTCTGGCTAACTACTTGAACGAACTGGTAATTACATGAAGCAAGCTCTCAATTTGTAAGTTAACTTGTAGTTTACTCAGTTCAAGTTGAAGTTTCAATCAGTAGTATACCGGTTTTTGAAAATACGCATGCTTTCTTGATTACTATTTTCCATATCGAGAAGATCACATATTGGGATCAAAATAGTTTCGCTTTCCAATGGTTTATTGTTCCTACAAATTATTATATAAGTTTTCGATTTGCATCTTAAACCAACATCATTTAGAGAACCTCTGAAAACTAGGAAGTTCGTCTTAGCTTGGGACTCTTCAGTAACGCTCACCAATGATCCCACCAGGGATCGAACCAGGGAAACCCAGGGATGGAAACCAGTTCCCGATGAATTTTGACTCTTGATAATTCACGATAAATAGCGTCACTCACAGCCGATGTCATTGGCGTTTACCTCTCCTCATACCCAACATGATGGTCCCAATAGTCTCTACTTCTCACTAGAAGTCCAAACATTTGATCTATTATTGAGTCACTATTGAGCAGTAGGCCAGCTTTCAAGTCTCAGTTTGTGTGGATTTGATTAATTTTAAGTAAGACCACTAAGTGACATCAGCTTATCTCCTCTCGTAAACTAAAGATGTTCGGTTCAATATCCGGTGAGATCATGAATGCTTACTGCTGAAAAATACCAAAGTAGAACGAAATAGCTGCACAGTACTCTCTGGTTTCCCAATGGTTCTCCAGTTGATGTCAACTCATGATTAATTCTGATGTCACTTTATACTCTAGCTTAAAATTAATCAAATTTCTACAAGCGAACGCCTAAATATTATTTAAGTGCCGTTGTGAAGTCTATCCGCCACTCCTAGGAAGAATGAAGGCATAAAAACTTTCTATCGAATCGTCTAACTTCAAAATTTTCAAAGTCCAGTAGCTAGAAATGAAATCAGGATAGCCTTTTAGAATAATGAATTTTTCATGGCAATTTTATTGGATACGGATTTTAAACTTAATTGGTTTTTAAGTCAATCTACCTTTTCATTCTCATGAATTTATTAGAACAAGAACGGAAATATACCTACATCGTCTTACGCAACATGGATTTGTCGACATCTTCAGTACTAGGTTTAACAGGAAGTGAACTTTCTTGAATTCTCCATGAATGATCTAACTGTATATCTTGAAAATCTTTGTTGTGACTGGTTGTTAATTTACATCCGTTTTGATCGTTTCTGTTGACTTGGAATTTGAATTTTTTGTCACGTGGTTTGTCCTTTCTTAGTTAGCGAATTTGATCAATGTTGATGTGTCTGTCAATCGCTGATTCACCCGAGTACCAGGATTCCAGAAATTTCCTTGTATTTTTGGTGTTTCTACGTCTGCAACTTCTTAAACAAATTGTGTCCATAATTGTCTACATGAGTCGATATGAAACATAACATATAGTGTCTTCTGACGGCTAGTTTATGATCGTGGATGCTGCTTTGAAGGGAACGCCTATTTCCACCAATAAAGTGTTTTTCGAATTTCATGAATTTTATTTTGTGTTGATCTTGTCTTCATTTGCTGCTGAGTCTTTTAGTCTGCAAGGTATTGAATGAGGCGAGTGTGTTGTTTTGTGTTCTATGTCTATTTCGAATGGTTCTAGTGTTCCGGATGTTTCTCTAGAAATATTTTTCATATATGGTAGGATGTATCTTCTTGTGGTTTTTCAGGATAGTCTCTTGCTAGTAGTTTGATATGAGTTTAAATGATTTTTGACGAAAAAATTGGATACCCACACAATTTTGTCAAAAGATGTCTAAAAAAACTATTTGTTATTTCTTTGAACCTTCTTTGGTAATTCAGTTTCAAAACCAAGTCCATTTTGACCAAATTATATTTTCGCCTTTTTTCTTATCCGTGATGCTGAAACCCGAATATTTTGACTCGTTATGGTCTGTTTACTTTTAAATAAATACATATAGCAAGTTCATATGCTCGAGATGTGTTACGCAAATACAACACATTTTTCAGATAAATTACATCTTATTATCCTGTCCAGACATATAAGATGTGTTCATAAATGAGGACAGTAACAATTCCCTCCTTCCTTCTAGTCTGCGCTCTGTAAC